ATAACTGGCCTAGAAATCTGCATAAAACAAACACATCCTTGTACAGTCCAGCGTGCCAGGCTAACGGTCATTGGTAATGCAGAGTTATTTTTTGTCTACAGCTGCCGTAACTGTGTTTGGTGGAGACTTTGTCAGTGCCTTTATTATTACAAGAGCTCATCAATGCTACATTCATAACATTATAAGCTTTTCTACTTAAGAGGGGTCATTCCTGAGACTGAATGTTTATCATAATTTAGCAATATGGATAAAATTTCTGACTGACTGTTCTTAATGGAATACTCCAGCACTTTTCAATCTTATCTCAATCTCAGGGGTGCATAACTCTGGTCCTGGAGGACTGGTGTCCAGCACAATTTGGTGATTTACCTGCTCAAACACACCTGATTCAACTCTTCTGTTAATTGCCAGGTTTAGTGGGTCTGTTTGAGTAGGGAAACTACCAAACTGTGCTGGACACCGGCCCTCCAGGACTGGAGTTGTGCACACCACAGACATTCTCAACACTTTTCCTTATACTTAGTAAAAGACTACAATGATTGACTGCTTCAGCACCCGGCCATTGGCGTCTATTATTATAGTGTTTTGAATGAACAGGATTATATTATGATGAAAACTGGAAGCAAACAGGACTTTTGTCTTTGTAAACATGCAATGAGAAAGTACAAAAGTGTTTTTACTGTGTTTAAATACAAATTTTAGGGGCAGCTGGTATAAATAGGCTAGTGGGGCTGAGCTCTCCCTCTCTTTCAAATATAAAAGGCAAAGGAAATTTCTTTATGAGAAGAATAAATGGAGTTTTGAAAATTGACTCTGTCGCAACTTTTTTTGAACATCACTGGGTCCTCTGAATTATGAAGTAGTTAAAGAGATGAAATATATATTTGGCTACATCATGTTAGCTAATACTACTGCGCACTGAATTAATGTCATCAGATTTGTAGCCCCATTAGATTTTGTTCCCCATTAAAAGATTCTGATTTTTGCAGCTCAACAACCTTTTGTCCTACATCACTGCTGTATTCTCTGGTCTTTCTCATAGTGATGGATGACTGAGGGAATTTGGCCTGTGTTTCATACATATTTATGGCTGACCATTTAAGTGTTCCTAATCTGTGAACTTGCTCAGGTGAACTTAAAAACATAAAATATAAATGGGAATTTACTTTAGGTTTCACTCTTAAGAATTTCTAGAGGTGCCAACAATTGTGGCATACATAGATATAACAAAAATATTTATTTCATAACAAGAATTAACTTTTATTTCAACCATCATACCTTAAATAAAGGTTAATGGTTAGATTTTTGCTAATATTTTGAATGAAAGGAATCAAAAGAATAAGTAATTAAGAATATTTTACAGTTCATTTTGCTCATGATTACCAGGGTTGTCAATATTTGTGGAGGGCACTGTATTTGTATATAACATAATATGACACAAGACTTAAACAAAATGAGGGAATTATAATCTGTGAGCAAATAACCATCATATAAGCAAATGATAGTGGCATGAATTATCCCAATTCTTAAAGCATAAACTGATAAAATAGAACAGATTAGCATCCTTCACAACAACCAGTAATATTCAACTAGAAAGGGAAGGTTCATGAACGAACTTTAAGTTGGCTTGAAAAAGCTAGTTAATTACGTTAAAACATCAAAATGGTTGAAAACTGTTGATAGTTGTAAAAATGTTGCCAAAATGTTGCTAAGCAGAAGCTGCAGTACCTGTGATGGATTGTAATTCGTTGCTAGGTGCTACCATGAATGAAGTTCCACCTTAAAGTCTGTGGCACCTTAAATTTAGTGCTACGTTATACTAAGTTCCACCTTAAATTCTGTGCTGCCTTAAATTTAGTGCTATGCTAATTTCAGTTCCATCTTAAATTCTGTGCCAAATTAATTTTCATATCACCTTAAATGGAATGCCACCTTAAATTCTGTTCCACCTTAAATTTGGTGCCAGCTTAATTTAAGTGATACCATAAAATGGAGTTCCACCTTAAATGTAGTGCTATCTTAATAGCAGTTCCACCTTAAATTCTGTTCCTCCTTAAATTTAGTGATATGTTGATAGCAGTTCCACCTTAAATTTAATGCTATGTTAATTGAAGTTCAACCTTAAATTCTGTGCCATCTTAAATTTAGTGCTACATTAATTGAAGTTCCACCTTAAGTTCTGTTCCACCTTAAATTTAGTGATATGTTAATAGCAGTTCCACCTTAAATTTAATGCTATGTTAATTGAAGTCCCACCTTAAATTCTGTGCCATCCTAAATTTAGTGCTATGTTAATTGAAGTTCCACCTTAAATTTAATGTTATGTTAATTGAAGTTCCACCTTAAATTTAGTACTACCTAAGTGCAATTCCACCATATATCGGTACTACGATCCTGCAAAGTTTCGTAGAATAATAATAAGAAGATAAATTGGCTTTCAAGCCAACTTAATGACCAAAGCAGAACAGACGAAAGAGAATGGCATATTAACCAGTGTAAGGGCCAATAGTCAGAGAAAGAAATGAAGGCAGCTGTTTACAAAAAGAGTGTCACCAAACCATTTGTGGTCACTCTACAGACCATAAGGCCCGCAGGCAAAGTCAGGCCTGTGGCGCAATCCAATTGGGCCTGAAAAATTATTTGAATTTTCTATTAATATTATATGGAAGTCCAGAGAGGCCATGAGTTGTTGCTATAATAACAAGATAAGTAACTTGTTATCTCAAGATTACAATTTTGTTACCTTGAGATAACATGTTATTTATCTTGTACAAGTAACTTGTTATTTCAAGATAACAATTTTGTTATCTTGAGACAACAAGATAAGTAACTTGTTATTTCAAGAGAATTTTGTTATCTTGAGATAACAAGATATCTCAAGGTAACAACTTTGTTATCTTGAAATATCAAGATAAATAACTCATTATCTCAAGGTAACACCTTTGTTATCTTGAGATAACAAGATGAATAACTCGTTATTTCAAGATAATGTTGTAATCTTGAGATAACAAGATATCTCAAGGTAACAACTTTGTTATCTTGAAATATCAAGATAAATAACTCATTATCTCAAGGTAACACCTTTGTTATCTTGAGATAACAAGATGAATAACTCGTTATTTCAAGATAATGTTGTAATCTTGAGATAACAAGATAATTAACTTGTTATTTCAAAATAACAATACAGAAAATGCTAACTACCTCACGGCCTCTCTAGACTTCTGCAATATTAGCCCATACGTCATGAGCTGCACTTGCCAGCATGCGCAATGTAATGTGCTCCCACCCTTTGCCTTTGTAGTTTTGGCATATATTTTGAACAAAAATAAAAATAAAAAAACTAAAAATAAATGACTTAGTAAATTAATATGTGAAGTAGAATTGCAAAGAATAATGATGATAAATCTAAAAATAAATGAATGTACACAACAATTAATATATTAATAAATAAAATCTTCATTAAATCTGCATTTATTTATGTCTATTTAGTAATTTCCCCTTCTCACAAATTTTTGTATTTATTTTTTTTATTATTTATGTTTCTTTTCTATTAATTTATTTTATTAGTTCATTTCCATAACTATTAATTTCTGTATTTATTTATTTCTGTATTTCCTTGTCCTTATGCTAATAAAGGGGTTGTCAGTCAATGATGTCACAGCGTCTTAATATTCCTATTGGTTGATCGATGTCAGATTCTGTAGTTTGATTGTTCATGTCTTGCTCTCTCAGCGGTAACTAAGGACCAGACAGTGCAGTGGTGTCTTCTTACAGCAGCAGACAGTCAGAGATCTGAGAGTCTCGGCTGATCTGGCTGAAAATGAAGGTCCGGATTATTGACTCTTCTGTTGGAGGCTGTGGGGACAGTTTGGTCCATTTTGCTGATCTGCTGGTTCAGAGGTCGACCCAGTAGTGTTCAGAACTCTGGAGGAGGTGGTTCATCGTCTTTTTCTGCAAATTTCAGATCACACAGACACACTTCTCACATACGGCCTGTGGAGGCATCGAGAGTTATTTATCGGCAGGTTTGTCTGTCTGTGGCACTGCAGCTCTTTATGGAGTGAAAGAACAGTTTAATCAGCTCTTCTCCTCCTGGGCTTGATTGCTAAGCCTGAACGTGAAAGGTTTCACGCCCCCCTTATTATCATATGAACGAAAAAATATAGAAATAAATAAATGAATTAATGAAAAAAAAAATGAATACATGAATCAATGAATAAAGCGAACAATTGTTAAAAATATAGATATGGAAAAATATATAAAAATGGCATTAATAAAACAATAAATAATACAGAAATAAATAAATTGAGAAATATATAACTGCAGAAAAAGGAAATTTGTATAATTACAATCACAATAAGCAATATATACTTTATTTAGGTTTTTTTTATTATTAATGAATTTACTGAGCCATTTTTTTTATTTTATTTATTTTTCAATTTGGCAAATCTGGTCCTCCATACATGGCAACATGGTAAGTAAAAATAAAAACACAGCTGGTCCACAGATTTGTTGGGAAATTTTTATATGGCCCTTTTAATGAGTTTGACACTGATCTACAGGTTGAGTCCTCAAAGAAACCCTGAATTGTGTAGCTGAGAGTTTTGCTTTCGGTTTCACTGGATGAAGAAGTGCTGCACTGCAGCGCTACAGAGTCAAGAGCTCAGCGGGCATGCTGTAAGAGCAACGACATCATCACCACTCAATGGGCTCTCTATCTCGAGCGGGCCTTTCCCCATCATAGAGAGGGGAGCCAGGTGGGAAGGCGCCGGTGGAGAAACGCAATAGCATCTCCTCCTTTATTCTCTGGTAGGTTCACCAAACTAAGGGTGGAGTGGCGACGGCGGTCTTCCAGTTCTCAGTAGTTTAGAAATGCTGTCGTCAGCCTCTTGATAGCATCCGGTTTCTGCGTTTGGGCTGCTTGTAATATGTGCATACTTTCGCCCACTGTCCAAAAAAGGATTTATCCTTATTCTTGCAGAGGCTGTAGCAGGACCAACACTGAGGCTCCAACGATGAGACTTACTCTCTTTGCAGGTAGAGACTGTGCAGCTGGATTTGGCTCAAATGGTTTTGCTGTTTTTATTTGATATGAACTTTTATTTATTTATGCTTGAACATTTTCTCTGTTATTTGCTTTACCTTGTAGGCCTTTGCCTGTTAATGAGTCATTTTGGTGAGTTTTTATTTGTTATTTCAGAAATCAATTAATGAAGGATTAATATGTTTATATTTCTGTACATTACATATACATACGGGTCATTCTCCATTTGGAGTGGGAATCCAGGTGGATAAATTTTTTAAAAATCAGTTTCTTTCATCCCAAAACTAAAAAATCTTAATATGTCCATTAACATCTCTTATCATATATGCTAAAAGGAGAGCTTGATTCCAAACATATGTTACAGCCACTGGTGTTGTATGAATATGGTGTAACTATGGAGTTTTGTGCCAAAATGTTTTATTTCAGTATTATGTCTAGTAAACAAAATAGGATGAACTGAAAAAGAGTTTTTTTTTTCATCAGTATTGTTTTTTGATGACGCCATTATACAAGATAAATATACAGGATTAACAAGATGAGCCTATGAAGACGAGCTCTATAGTAGAGTTCAGTAGAACACTGTTAGATACTGTTAGCCACATTCAAAGAAACCCTGCTAACGTCAGCTTAGTTGATTAATGTTAAATTAAGTGGGTAGCGCTGTCGCCTCACAGCAAGAATGGCCTGGGTTCGATTCCCGGCCGGGCGACCAGAGTCCTTTCTGTGTGGAGTTTGCATGTTCTCCCCGTGTCTGCGTGCGTTTCCTCCCACAGTCTAAAAATATGCAGTCAATTGGACGTGCTAAATTGCCCCTAGGTGTGAATGTGTATGTCTGCCCTGCGATGGACTGGCGACCTGTCCAGGGTGTATCCTGCCTTTCGCCCGATGACAGCTGGGATAGGCTCCAGCACCCCACCGCGACCCAGAAGGATAAGCGGTTTAGATGATGGATGGATGGATGGATGTATGTACCGTTATGTACCTGGTTGGGAGCTACCAATTAGATTAATACGTCATTATTTATGATGAGCATTACTGATACTGATCGTTTCTATTCATTTGCTATGAGAATGCCAGAAACCATCTAGCTAATATCGAGGCTACAAGCACACTAGCCGACTCAACACCACAGCCACGAACGCACCTTGACCAATTGGCATAAAGCTGCTTAAGAAAGGACACCATGATTGGTGCGCTGGCAGGAACCGCCCCCCGGCAGCTCTGATTGGCTGGAGTTTTGGCACAAACATTCAGACGTTTTACAGCGAACAGGTGTGAAAGTTGAGCGCGCGCTGTGGAGCTGAGAGCAGAAATGATTTGCGCGCCCGTGCGAGTTTTGATGGTAAAGAGCGCGATTGAGCACGTTTTCCAGTTTAGAGTGAAAACCGGAGTGTTTTGTTGAGCAAATCCGAAGGCGGTTACCTGCGCACCTCGTGCTGACAAGTGCGTTCAAGTTCATTATCTGCGCGCTCAGAGCACCGCTGTCCTCTCAAACCGGAACATTCCTCTCTCGAACATCAGGATCTTCTCTCAGACATTTTGGCACAAAACTAACTCCATATGTAACACCAGTGACGGTGACTCCAGTGACATTCTGGATAAAACTGAGGATTCTGTAAACTGGCTGACTCGTTGGTGGTCAGGTGACCTTGTGTATTTAAAATCAGTAATAAAAATGATATTTGGCATTATTTGGCAAACTTTTAATTACCCAGCCATTAAAGCACATAACACTGGTGATACAAAGAGGTTCTGTGCTGCCTGATAAACAAAATTATTAATAAATGAATGAAATATAGAGAGCAGGTGTGACTCGCCTTCTCATGCCTTGAGATGCTTCCTCTCTGATGAGCCTCGACCCAAAGAAGCAGTTTAATAGAGCTGAAAATACTGTGTTAGAATGAAATATAAGGGTCCTGATAACACCAGTGACCACAATCTCTGTGACAGATGAATTTTTTTAATAAAACACATTTTTTAAATGAAGTATAGAGTTAACGATATAAAAAACAAACATTAATCTGTTTTATACAAATTCCTAAGTTAAACCTCTTAAAAAATATTTTTATATTAAAAATGGTTTCTGAATTGCTGAAAGTTGGTTTTGTGATGAGTTGTTTTACAGAGGCAAAGCGATTACGAAACAGGATAAAAAAAGAAAAATCTGAGAAAATAATAAGGAAAAAGTCTTATTTCATCCTAGGTCGACTCTTTTGGTGTACATACAGACTTTTGGAGCTGTGTCTAATATTTTAAGCATCTTTTTAAGCCCTGCAACCTTTGTGACACGGTTTCCCACTACAAATGGAGACTGACCCATATACATATGCTGTAAATGTAAATTAGGTTCAGCCTCTCAGCTTATATGCTACTTCACAAGCTGGTCCCAGTACAGGCCTGGTCCTGGGAGGTACATGCCTGATAATATTGATCCCCAGCTGTGCACTCACCTGATCTACGCCTTCTCTGCCATTAACAGCGCAAATGAGCTGGTCATCCATGAGGGGAACGATGAGACTCTCTACAAGTCTTTTAACGGTCTGAAGCAAAGGTAAGTTTTCCTTAATAAGCAGATGATATGCTCATATTATAGCATTGATATTTCTTGTATGTATATGGCAACTCCCAACAACATATATTATGAGAAAAAAAGGAAGTTTTTGAAAGCCCTTACTAAAAAGTCACATATATTTCACACGAGAAGGGCGCACACATTCGTTTTTATGTGATCACACGTTTTTTCACAGACGCACGTTTTTCATGTGACTATTTTTATAAGGGAGTGGTCTGTAATTTGTTTTGAAATGAAACCCTTCATGTTGATGATGTATTCTGGGTTATTTTGTCAAGCCTGGTTGCTAATGCTAGATATAAATGTCGGATTTAACAGAAACCCCAGCTTGAAAACACTCCTGGCTGTTGGAGGATGGAACTTCGGTACAGCTCGGTAAGTGATTTGAAATAATACTTTAATGAATCTCTGCAAAAGCACAAAGCACAGACATCTAATCATGAAACTAAATGCTTATCTGTCCAGGTTCACCACCATGGTGTCCACTCCAGCAAACAGACAGACGTTCATCCAGTCCTCCATCAAATTCCTGAGAACTCACGGCTTCGATGGGCTGGATCTGGACTGGGAGTATCCTGGAGCCCGGGGCAGCCCAGCGGAGGACAAGCAGAGATTCACTCTGCTCTGCAAGGTCAGCACTCCAGCTGTTATGTAGTGACTGGATTCTGCAGCAGTATTCAGGCAGCTAAAGGCTTCTATAAAAACTGCACTAAAACGAGTTCAGAATGGAAAGAAATTCTGACTCTGCTCACATTTCATGTTTAATTATAGATTTTATGACCTGTTCATATGTTTCTATCCTGCAGGAGCTTCTGGAGGCCTATGAGGCTGAAGGCAAGGCTACTGGACAGTCCAGACTATTGCTCACAGCTGCAGTGGCTGCTGGGAAAGAAAATATAGACAAAGGATACGAAATTGCTGAAATCGCCAAGTAAGCTACAAACTAAAACGTTTTCAATGTATTCAATAGTATGCAAATTTAGGCGCCCCTGGTCAAATGATTTGAAGATTTTGAAGTGAAAAGAAGTTAAACATCTTCTACCTTTTGCCGAATTTAACATTTGGACAACATAAAATCTGTACAAAATTTATGGTACATTTTGTATTTTATGTTTTCTTTTCCTAATGTAATACTGCACTAAAAACATATTTAAGTTTGTTCTCTGTAGAGGATTTGTAAACTTATTTTCGCATAGAAGAAAGGTGTAATTTGACTGGGGGTGTTCAAGCCTTAGCATAAGAGTGTATATCTTATTTAGAATTATGTAAGTTTTTTATCTTTTGTTGTTACTTATTGTATTGATAATTTTTGTTATTTTTTATATAATAAAAACTGAGATTAAACTTAAATGTAGATTTAAATGTTACATTTAAAAAAATCAGATGTTTCATTTAGTATTACAAATATTAAGTTCATAATTATTAAGCAATTCCATATTTACAGACTTATTTTTCTTGAATTCCATTGTTGATGACTATTTTAGATTAGTCCACTCATCATTTGGGAAACACAAACATTATTACAGATTCCAGGCTTCTGTAATTATTTAAAACTGTGAAGTAACACAGGACTAGCATGGTTCAGGCATCATATAAGGTTATATAGTTTTATATTATTGAAAACATTGCACATTTTTGAATGGTATATGGCATATGTAGGTCATCTATCCTAAATTTTTATTTTAATTAGATTACCAGCATCACCCAACTGACTTTTATTTCTGAAACAGGTATCTGGATTTCATCAGTGTGAAGACCTATAACTTCCATGGTGCTTGGGAGAGTTTCACTGGGCACAACAGTCCTCTGTACCATGGTTCCCATGACCAAGGAGACCTTATCCACCTCAACACTGTAAAAACATACTTTCTGCTACTTCAATAGTAGATTAATTTCACAATAGGGGCAAAAGGAATAATAGAATGAAGAAATGCAAAAATACTCACTCTCCATGTTCATTTTTCAGGATTATGTAATGAAGTACTGGAGGGATCAGGGAGCCCCTGCGGAGAAGCTGAGGATGGGTTTTGCTACGTATGGTAGGACCTTCCGTCTGAATTCTACTGCCAGTGGAGTTGGAGCTAAAGTCAGCGGTGCTGCTTCTGCTGGGACTTACACCAGAGAGGCAGGATTGTGGTCCTACTACGAGGTCTGTACACAGCTCAGTCAGCCACACTCACACACGCTTCACCATCTGCTGTAGCTCTTCATACAGAACTCATAGCAGTCATTTGGTGAAGTACTGTACACATTATTAGCCTTTACTCCACATGTAGTTGATCAGCTGAAATACATTTGACATTTGAAGTTTAGTTTTGCACTGGACCAATGAGGCAACGATTAGCATTGTGCAAACTGGTTGCCGAAATCACCACAGACTTCCCTCAGACTGTGCTAAGTCAAGTAATCTCAAATAGACTTCCATGTGTGGTTTCTGACACTGCATGACATACAGTTATCTATAAAGGTAGAAATCTATTTTTATAGATAGCAGCATGTTGTACAGTGATAACGGTACAACATACTATTACAGTATGTGCGTTGTTATAGATAACAGCATGTCGTACACTGTATGACATTGTTATCTATAAAAAATAGATATTGATTTTTATTGATAACAGTATGTCATAACAATATCAAGCCATAAGCATGTCTACCAGCAAAATTAAAGTACCGAATTTCAGACACCTTACTAATCTCTGCTGTTTGATTGTATTTAGGGGAAAATTTGTGTCCATTTGATTCTGGCCAAACTGTTACTTTAATAGCATTCCGTACACAGCTCAGTCATCTGCTGTAGCACCTCATACAGAATTCATAGCAGTCGTTTGGTGAAGCATCAAGTGGACACACTATTGGCCTTTATTCCACATGTAGTTGATCAGCTGATATACATTTGATTTAGTTTAGTTTTGCACTGGAGCAATGAGGCAACGATTAGCATTGTGCAAACTGTTTGCTGAAATCACCACAGACTTCCCTCAAACTGTGCTGAGTTATGTAATCTCAAGTAGACTTCCATGTGTGGTTTCTGACACTGCACAACATGCTGTTATCTATAAAGGTAGATATCTATTTTTATAGATAGTAGCATGTCGTACACTGATAACGGTACAACACACTGCTACAGTATGTACATTGTTATAGATAACAGCATGTCATACACTGTATGACTGTTTTATGGATAACAGTATGTCATAACAGTATCAAGCCATAAGTATGTCTATCTGCAAAACTAAAGTAGCACACTTCAGACTATCTTTGCTGCTTGAATATATTTGAGGAAATGGGAAAATTGTGTCCATTACATTCTGGCCAAACTGTCACTTCAATAGCATTTTAATAAATGTTCATTCCCTATTAGATCTGCACCTTCCTTCAAGGAACCAGCATACAGTGGATTGAAGATCAGAAAGTACCTTACGCTACCAAAGGAAATGAATGGGTTGGATTTGACACTCAGGAGAGCTATGAAACAAAGGTACGTATAAAGGTTTGTCTTCTGCAATTTTATGTTTCTTCACAGATTCTAGGAATGTCTTACTGGTTCCTGTCCTGTTTCAGGTGCGCTATCTAAAAGATAATAATTTTGGAGGGGCCTTTGTCTGGGCTCTGGACCTGGATGACTTTGCAGGGCAGTTCTGTGGGAAGGGAAACTACCCCCTCATCAGTCACCTCAAGAAACTACTGAATACAGGTGCATTACACAGCTTTATTATGGTGGAAAGTAATTACAACCCCAAGTCCAAAAAAGTTGGGACGTTATGTAAAATGTGAATAAATGTAAATAAAAACAGAATGCAATGATTTGCAAATCTCATAGACCCATATTTTATTCACAAGACAACATAGAACACATATCAGATGTTGAAAGTGAGACATTTTACTATCTCATGAAAAACATTAACTCACTTAGAACTTGATGGCAGCAAAACAGTCGGGACAGGGCCGTGTCTACCATTGTCTAGCATCCCCTCTTCTTTTAACAACAGCCTGTAAACATCTGAGAAGTGAGGAGACCAATTGTTGGAGTTCTGGGAGAGGAATGTGCTCCCGTTCTTGTCTGATGTAGGATTCTAGCTGCTCAACAGTCCTGGGTCTTCTTTGCCAGATTTTTCTTCTTTGCATGATACAGCTTTAACTTGCATTTGTGGATTGCACAGTGAACTGTGTTCACAGACAATGATTTCTGGAAGTGTTCCTGAGTCCATGCAGTGATTTCCAGTACAAAATCAGGCCTGTGTTTAATGCAGTGCCGCCTGAGGGCCCCGAAGATCACGAGCATCCAATACTGACCGTCAGCCTTGTCCCTTATGTACAAGGATTTCTCCAGATTCTCTGAATCCTTTTATGATATTATGTACTGTAGATGGTGGGATATCCAAAGTCTTCGCAAATTTACATTGACACAATTTTCTCACAGTTTTTCGCAGATTGGTGAACCTTTGCTCATCTTTGCTTCTGAGAGACTCTGCCTCTCTAAAATGCTCTTTTTATACCCAGACATGTGAGTTAGTTGCAAATTACTCCTTCAGCTGTTTTTTTTATTAGTACCACTTACTTTTCCAGCCTTTTGTTGCCCCTGTCCCAACTTTTTTGAGATACGTTGCTGCCATCAAGTTCTAAATGAGTTAATGTTTTTCATGAAATGGTAAAATCTCTCTCACTTTCTCAATCTCACAGTCTCACTTTCAACATCTGATATGTGTTCTATGTTCTATTGTGAATAAAATATGGGTCTATGAGATTTGTAAATCATTGCATTCTGTTTTTATTTATATATATATATATATATATATATATATATATATATATATATATATATATATATATATATATATTTTTACACTTTACACAACATCCCAACTTGGGAATTGGGGTTGTAATTACACTAGAGTTAAGTACATTTCCCCCTGTAAGTAGGGCGGAAAAATACAGATAAAATATTGTATTGCAATTATATTGTTGTGTATTACGACTGCAATATGCCCTGCATATTATTAAAACACATTAGTGGAAAGCTACTGGTTTACCTTAGGTAGCCTAGTGAAATCTAGAGAAACACTGAGCATTGGACCTTCTTTCTATATGGTAAATATTATCTTAAAGAGACATTCTGGCCTAAAACTAGAGTTAGTCGTGTTAGACAGTATTCTGTAGCACAGCATTATAACCCTCAGCCTTACAGTTTGATAGAATGCATTGGGAATTCCTGCTGTGCTCAACCAACCCTGATTGCCAGCCTAACGCCTGATCTTTAAGCTAAATAGAATCGAGGTAACATTAGCGCAACTTTTACTTTCGTCATTTAACAAAATTATAAAGAAAACAGTGATTCTATCGTTCTAGTCGGCACAAAATGGGTACCAAAGAGTTTTTTTTCCCAGCCAGAGAAAAGAAGTCAAACTGCCAACAACTGTGCTATTTACACATTTTAACTTCTTCTTTTGAGTCATTTCTGTCATTTGAGTAATCCAGTAATCTGTTTAAATACCGTTACCCCAGTTATATGGCTGAAAAAATATATACATATAAAACAACCCACCCTAAAAATCTACTAAAAAGCAGTTGTAGTTTATCAAAAGTTCCTTCCATTTTCAACACACATCATCTGAAGGGGGGTTTTCTACTCTTTAAGACAGAAAATCTTACTTTAATGACTGTGGCACCACTGTAGGATGTGATTAAGCATGTTTACAACAAATTTTTTATTTTGTTTGGAGTGTCCCTTAAAGTTGTAAGATTTTTTTTTGTTAAAATTTAAAGAAGTAGAATTACTGAATCACGAGGAAATGATGCACTAAAATAGGGTGTCCATGTGCTGCTGCGAGTCAACCTGCAAAGACTGAAATTAAGGTGTTTCAAATGTAAAACATACTGTTAAGATATGATAACAGTAGATTATTCACTTACACGTCCTTCACCAAGTTTTGATGGAGTTCTCTTTGAATACTCTGTCAACTCGCTGACAATCATGAGATTAATCCCCTCAGAGAAGAGGTCCAAAACACAACCAATGTACAGTGTTCTTCTACACCGTCATGCAATTACACATTTCCACCAGGGGGGTCTCCAAATCCCCAAAACGTACATAGTGCAGCTTTAAAGTAACTGAAAAATTCTGTAAATTAGTAATTAAACTGTTTGAGTAAATAAAAAATTACCCAAGTAGTTTTTCAGTAAACAATGTATTAATGTTTAGTTGAATTTTTGAATACTTTGTTATATTAAAGATAACTATCACTACAGTAGCTGTACTGTTGCTTAAGTAGAGATTTCTAGCACTGTTTATTATTATGATTATAATAAGTGACTAATTTCCTGTCTCTGTTATTCTTGGATATACTCTCTCTCTCTCTCTCTCTCTCTGGGCCACATAAAACTACTGTGCCCCCTGCTTCCCCCATTGTAGCTCCAGTTTCTGACTTCTGCGAGGGCAAGCCGGAGGGTATCTATCCAAATCCTGATGACTGAAAGTCCTTCATCTGATGTGTCAGTGCCAGGACATTCACACAGTACTGTCCTGCAGGAACTGTCTACAATAACAACTTCAAGTGCTGCAACTGGTCATAGAGCTGTAACTAGACGCTGTAAGCATAACTGAACACAGGACATTGACCTGATACACATCCACAAGCACTTCTTATATTAATGTACACTGATCAGGCATAACATTATGACCACCTCCTTGTTTCTACGCTCAGTGTCCATTTTATCAGCTCTACTTACTATATAGGTGCACTTTGTAGTTCTACAGTTACAGACTGTAGTCCATCTGTTTCTCTGCATACTTTGTTAGCCCCCTTTTACCCTGTTCTTCAGTGGTCAGGACCCCCATGGACCCTCACAGAGCAGGTACTATTGTGGGTGGTGGATCATTCTCAGCACTCCAGTAACACTGACATGGTGGTGGTGTGTTAGTGTGTGTTGCGCTGGTCTGAGTGGATCAGACACAGCAGTGCTGCTGGAGCTTTTAAATACCTCAGTGTCACTGCTGGACTGAGAATAGTCCACCAACCAAAAATATCCAGCCCACAGTGTCCTGTGGGCAGCGTCCTGTGACCACCAATGAAGGACTAGAGGATGGTGCATCTGATAGAGTGTTTAAAAAGTCCAGCAGCACTGCTGTGTCTGATCCACTCAGACCAGCACAACACACACTAACAAACCACCACCACGTCAGTGTTACTAATGATCCATCATTCAAATAGTACCTGCTCTGTGAGGGTCCAGTGGGGGTCCTGACCACTGAAGAACAGGGTAAAAGGGGGCTAACAAAGTATGCAGAGAAACAGATGGACTACAGTCTGTAACTGTAGAACTACAAAGTGCACCTATATAGTAAGTGGAGCTGATAAAATGGACAATGAGTGTAGAAACAAGGAGGTGGTCATAATGTTATGCCTGATCAGTGTATTTGTGTATTTGTATGACTATCCATAATGATTTCTGACTAGCATAGCAAAAAAAACTGGCTTAAGGTTACATTGCTAGCATATATTAGGCATGGCTGACCTTCTGGCTTTATACTAGTGTAAAAAGGTGTGGTTCGCCACATTCACTGTAACATGTATACTTACATTTTTGAGCTGGCTCCATTTATAATACTGTACTGTAAAGAGATTATATATTGAGTCTATAATAAAGTCTATAATAAATGTAAAAATGTTATTATTCACCAAAAATTCTGGGACATATGCATCTGAGTCAATAAATATCAGGAAAGAGAATGTTTGTCAATTGTCAGTGTTGATCAAGCAATATCACATACACAAAATGATCCCAAACAATTTAATTTCAAATATGAAACCTGATTTATTTTTTAAAAAAATCATACCAAGTCACACCAAAGAGGATATGGCTAAAAAATATTTTGCAGTATCATAGATTTATAGAAACATTGATTCATGTTCTGGTTTATGTTCAGCTGGATCAACAGCTCCCACAAATATAACCAATTTTAATATGTAAATGAGCCTTAATGATTTTGCCACAATTTTCCTGTTACATGCATAACATTTGTGATGCCTGACAATGTATGTACTGTGTTTATTAAAATAAATAATCCAAAATAAGGCACAACAATAGCATGACTGGTAAGCCACAATGGGTGTTGCAGTCTGTGTTTCTATTTCATTAGTGGAAAACATATGGAAATAAATTAGAGGGGTACAAGGCTTTTGTAATTAAAAAGTATACAAATATGACTGCAGATGTTTGGAGGGTCCCCATGCATGCAGACCCTTCAGTGATCAATAGATGTTCCTCTTAAGAAACATCTATTGATCACTGTATTTTTCACTATATTTTCAGTGACAGATTTTGTATTTGCGAGTACCTGCTTCCCATTTGCACTGATGTGTGAACCACTAACACCAGTGACAATCAATCAAGAGAGAATTAAAGAAATTTAAGGTTAAATCAGATGAAATCAATGTATGATTATTATTATCTACACTAGCATTTAGTCCCTGCCTTTGCGTGTACATTTTTTAAAAATGCCACAAAAAGAACAAACTAAGTGCCAGACTGACCCTGTATGCACCATTTAGCATGTGTTCCTATAAACACCATTAATTCATGGTCCTCATATGGGAAAATATACTATATGACCAAAATTATGTGGACACCCCTCCTAATTATTAAGTAAAGGTGTTTCAGCCACACCCATTGCTAAAAGGTGTAAAGAATCAAACACATTTCCATGCAGTCTCCATAGACTAACACTGGCAGTAGAGTGGGTCATACTGAAGAGCTCAGTGATGTGGCACTGTCGTGTGATGCCACAAGTTAGTTTGTGAAATTTCTTCCCTGCTAGATCTGCCCCAGTCAGTTGTAAGTGCTGTTATTGTGAAATGCAAGTGTCTAAGAGCAACAACAGCTCAGCCACAAAGCGGTAGACCTCAGAGCGCAGTGCTGAAGTAAGTAGCATGTAAAAGTTCCATAGTATCTGTTGTATCACTCACTACAGAGTTCCAAATTGCCATGTTAGACAAGCTTTACAGAATGTCTCATTCAACGTAATGAGAGTGCAGCACACTTAGTTTCCCTACATGTTGTTGAGTTTCCAGTTTAAAATGCTGTGGCTAACCAAACGATGACAATTATTGCCCTCATTTGCCATGACATTAGCTAATTTCTTTAAACTATCTAAGGGTGTGACCTCTGTCACACATGCAAAATAAATAACAAACTGTAGTGTACAACTCATTTTTGAGTTGTACACTACAGTTTCTCAGTGTGCTGAAAGGCATTTTTACCACTGGTAAAGTGTTCAACCTGGCAACATCAGCACATGTACTGAGCACCAGGAGTTTAGCAGATGCCAGGAAAACACTATCTACTGGATTGCACAGTGCCAAGTTTGGCAGAGGCGGGATAATGGTCTGGGGATGTTTTTTAGGGATTTGGCTAAGCCCCTTAGTTCCAGTGAAGGGTAATGTTAATGCTACAGCATATAAAGACATTTCAGGCAATTATATGCTTTCAACTTTGTCGTAACAGTTTAGGGAAGGCCTTTTCCTGTTCCAGCATTAGTGTGCCCCTGTGCACAAAGTGAGGTCAATGAAGACATGGTTTGACAAGTTTGTTGTGAAGGACCTCGAGTGGCCTGCACAGAGCCCTGACCTCCACCCCACTGAACACCTTTGGGATGAACTAGAACACTGAGTGTAAACCAGGCCATCTCATCCAACATCAGTGCCTTTTGACTGTGAATAAGCACAAATACCGCCCCCCCCCACCCCCACCCCCACCACCACCCCCACCCCCACCCCCACCCCCACATGCCAGTCTAACAGTCATTGGTAGCATAGTTTTTTTTTTTGGTCTAAATATGGTCAGTAACTGTGCTTGGCGGAGACTTTGTCAGTGCCATTACCATTACAAGAGCTCATCAATGCTACTTTCATAACAATTAGCTTTTCTACTCAAGAGGGGTCACTCCTGAAACCAACTATCTCAGTTTAGCAGTATTGATAAAACTTCTAGATAACAGGCCTGAATCAACAGGCCTGTGTGTCAACAATAGATTAATTAATTAATTAATTAATAGAATACACCACTACTTTTCAATCTAATCTCCATTTCATACAATATTTAATAATTTCAACACTTTTCCTTGTACTTAGTAAAAACAGAACACTTGTTCTCTGCAAGAAGGTAGATCTCCAAGACCTGGGTTGGTGACTACTAGTGTTCTCCTACATATCATTTAGAATTTTCTATATCATTCCATCATTCAAGAGGATTAACTCCTGACAAGGCCAGACTCCTTATTTGCAAGGAGTTTCTGCTATATCATTCCTTTCCTGTAGCGTTCCTGAGTAATACATGATCTTTCTCACTGTTCTAGATAATTCCTGAGTAGATCAGTTGTCCAACAAAAGAAAAATCACAGAAATATTTTATCAATTTTGTATGAGCATCTTAAAATAAAATATTGATCAGCTAAAACTGGCTCTAAAACAGGCTCACAGCTCATGCTGACTGGCGTGAGGGGTGGGCAAGTTTCTGATGTCACAGTTCTGGAAGAGCTGAAAGTAAAACACAACAAGCTCCTCGTAGTTCTTAGGAGAAATTCTCTCATTGATGCCATGGAACCTAAACATGGGCATAAAAAAGAAAGAAAGGTGAGTATCTGGAGTTCCTTCCTGTCCTTCGCCCTGCTTAATTCCAGTGTCTTACCTCTGGGTGTCACCTGGTTTAAACCAGGTCGGAGCAAAACGGTAAATGTCCTTGGTGAGGTCAGTGTAATGACGGCTATCAGTGTTGCCAACGCAAATCCCTGTGAAGTGGACAAAAGCAATAGAGGGAAAACGCAGAGATTAAGCAGTAGTCTGGGCTTCTTCAGTGGCAAATGAAGCGTGTAAGTAGCTCTTCAGCCACTTGAGCACTTAGAGTGGATTAGGCAGAAGAACAAGGGATAAAAATCCACTGACTTTGCTGAAACTTTGATTAATTTAAAATCTGTATATAGTCTGTGTGAAACTTTTGATGGATTAATTTGAGGTTTTCAAATGTATCGTGTCTGAAACTCCTTAAATAAGCTTATTTTAAAAAGCAAAGCAGGACTTCTCAGGCCTTCTCAGCGAGAAGCTTACCCGGGGCCACCGTGAGCTGGGGAAACATGTCCAGCACTGTCTTCTTAATGACCTGGAACCCAAAGGACTGCTCAGTGTAGGAGCTGATGGGCAGGGGGTTGAACCCACTCACCAGCTCGATCTTCACACGATCATCTGCTACGGTGGACTTGATCAGCTCCATCACCTACAGAAGAGATGTACAGAAAAAGTGGCAGAGAGAGGGACGTTTATGTCCTTAATGAGACACTGCTGTCATATGTTTGCTTCATTCCTTTTGAACTGGAACTACAAAGCATCAACATGTTTCATGTCTGGAATGATTTCATTTACACTTTTCACTAACATGCATCCCCCGTGTGTCCAGATGAGATCCGCTTTTACTTTCACTTGTAAAGAGTATAAATCATATTAGAACGGATCATATTACCTCACGTGTGCTGCCAGAGTGGCATAATTAGATCAGAGAAATGAGGAGTTAGAAGCTTACAAGTGCTTTCAGGCTTAAAAATGCATCAAATGTTGTTATTTTTTATTTCTCTTGCACAGAATGGTGCTTTTGTAATTGTATATTTTGCTGTTTGCTTTAATTAGACATTGTTAGATTTCTGATAAAACAGACCCCATCCTAAAAATTATTTTTAAAAAAGGGCTTGCGGCACATTCAGTCAGAGGCACACTATTACAATCATCAATTTATCTCTTCTCGTATTGTTATTGTGATACGCAGCAGCTTTATCAAACATTGCATTTTATGTTCACATCATGCAGCTCTAGTAAAATGTACATCAATCATGTTGTACATCCATTTGATGTGGATTTACAATACAAATTGACAAGCTTGGTTTGGACTGTTTCATTGGCCCAGAGTCCAAGATTCCTTGGTTTTGTTAAACTCCAGCATCACGTATGTTACTGAGTCTTGCATACAGTATTGATTGTATATGCAAAAAAAGCTATTTAGAGATTGTATTTGATTAGCAAACTGAAGGGGTTTAGGGTTAATAATAATATTTTGGAAAAAGTGTACATCAGAGCATCCTTGTGTGTAGTACAGACATCAGCAAATAAAAATAAATTGATCAAGATCATCCAGATGGTAGGGACAACAATCATTAGATGATCTTTAAACGTGATCTTTTAACATAGCTGCAATCAGAAAAACTGATAATAATTGATGACCCAAAGCATCCTCTTCATCAAGACTGATCCCTTCTGGGGTTCGCTACAGAGTGCCTCTGATAAATTAAAATAAATGTATAAGGGATTGATTATCCCTAATACAATCAAACCTACCAACAAATTGTATTAACTTGCACTAATTTACATCTTTGTGATGAGTGTCTACTGTGAGTATTTAGTGATGTGCTATGTGTTTATTTTGAATCCGAGAAACGAAAGATGATTATGCTGCCTTGGCGGACAATAAAGTTCTATTCTATTCTGTTCTTTTTTGTTCTTCATCTTGAGTTACCTTGTTCACCCTCTCATTTGCTAGTCGGCACTCGGCAGAAGCATTTCCACTAACATCCGACCTAATCACAGTGCTCTCTGGGTATGTTTACACTTGGCTTTTCACACAGTCAAGTGAAATTCCAAATGTTCTCCAATCACCAGAAATGCATGCTGTTATAAGGTGTAATCAGCCTCTATAAGGCTAATGTAGCCAACAAGTAATGGAAGCTTGGTTAGCACTGTGCAAACTGCAAGCCTAAATCACTACACACTTGACTCAAACTGCACTGAGTAATCTCAAACAGACCTGCTTATGTGGTTTCTGACACAACATAACAGACTTTCAGCCAAAATGGCCAAAAGTACAGACAACATTCAGACTTCAAGATGCAATTTAGCATATTTGAATATACTCAACAAGGAAATGTGTTGATGTAGTGCATGCAGTTAGTCTAAAGCTGATGGATGGGTATATGCTTCCACTACTTGTTAGCTACATTATCCTCACAGCTCCAGTGAAAAACTAAAGAAGCAAACTTCAGACACCAAACATGTCTTAGTTGATTGACTACATCTGGGGGGAAAGTAGGATGAACTGAAAGGAGAGACAGCTATTTTTCTTTTTTCTGATTGTACAAAGAGACAGATTGCCCTGCAGTCTCTCTGTGAGCTCTCTCTCCCCTGAATGTATTATCTCCTTTGCATGACTCTGATTCATGCAAATCACCCTGCACCATGATTATTGTCCTTGAGGCAGAAGAAGGAAAGTCTTAGGAGAAGCAACATCTGACTGTTCAAAGAACAAATTTTTACATCCTAAAATGAACAGAAAATTGTGGCGTATGTGCTTGAAACCTTCAAAGTCTCCACTTTAAAAGATCTGCTCGTACTTAGTACAAAGAGCAGTAATATGTTCCCTTTGAACTTGAATGCACAAAGTCAACATCTCCATGACAACAGTGGTGACATCTCACCTCCTGCAGTGTTTGGGCAGAGTGGATGCGCAGATTCACAAAGGCCTCAGCGTGTGATGGAAGCACATTGATCTGCAGAGGGAGAAGGAATGAGGTGCCTGCATTCAAAAAGTTTGAGAATATGCGTTTATATGGGTGTTAAAATGAAGAAATCTTCTACCTTCACACCAGAGTTAAACATGGTGACTGCTGTAGTAGTCCGGACAAAAGCATTCGTGTCAGGTCTTCTCTCCATTACTCTGGAAACCCATTGTGAGGTTTGTTTGTAAAACACAATTTATAAAACAGATAAGCCTTGTTCTTTAATATGATTGCCTGAGCCAACTTAATTCTGTATTAAAGGTGCAGTATATGATTCTGGGGAATGACTGTTGATATTTGAACTCAACAGCAAAACAAATACACCCTTCAGTGCTTCTTCAGAAGATCTGCCCCCCCAAATTCAGGGACATGCATTGCCAAGGCAAAAGTAACAGGACTAGCAAATTTCATAGCCATAAAACCCTTTGCAAACTTTGTACGGACAAACCACACGTTAGAGCAAACAACCACACAGGTAATAACTAACGTTAGCTAGGTTGTGGGTTAGCAACTGTCACTACAATTGCTGCTATGAAGCTGACCAGTTGCTATCGCAAACATCATCAACGGGACAAGACAGTCCTGACTTGGTTCTGTGAAACCACAAAAATAATTTAATCCACCTGTCAACTCTCGATGAAGCTGAAGTCAGCTTCCTTTTTGCCAGCTTCTTGTTTAAATTTTCCCGTTCCACCTTAAATGTTGCAGCAGTTGCATTCCAGCACCTCAGCTTCTTGTTCGAATTTTCCCGTTCCACCTTAAATGGTACAGCAGTTAGGCTACATTAAGGTGCCTCAGCTTCTTGTTCAAATTTTCCAGTTCCACCTTAAATGGTGCAACAGCTGGATTCAGACACCTCAAGCACCAAAATGGAACTGCTGCCCGATTTAGGAATAGGAAGCTCACTTCAGCCTCGTCAACTCCCGGACGTCTCTCCAGCACTGAAACGCCTAATCTAAGAACCTTTTTTCTCAATCTTTGTTTAGCAGATCTCCTCTTTGGCCATTTCTCCTTCTTGACATTGCATGGAGTTCAGCAGGTAGCCACTCCTCTTCCCCCATCCTGCACAGACACTCCCTGTTGCTGATTGGCTGGAATAGTGTTGTGTTTCTGATCCCGAACCACTTTGGTTCCCTTTTTACAGAGCCAGGGTGTGTGTATGAACACCAGGTGGTTTTTTCAGCTCGCACACAAAACGGACAGCTAGCAGAGATATGAACTGAATTTGACAAAAAGTGCACTGGAAGAAAATCGTATACTGTGCCTTTAACGCAGCAGGTCATTGTGCTGTACAGTACTGTGCAAGTCAGAGACCACCTCTCATTTATTTATTTTCCAGCCAAGTAAATTCAAGAGATATTTCTGAGGAGATTATATACAAGATTGTCCACTTAAGGAAGGGGAATGTCAAAGGAAAATGAGTGAAAATAAACAGGAGTTTCCAAATCTGGAGTCTGAAATAATTAAAAATGATAGTACCTAAAGCTTCATTGAGAAACCAAGCTCCACTCTTACTTTAGGTTTAAAAAAAATCAACAGGTATTTCTGTTTATCCTTCCACTGCGAGAAAGCGACTCAACACTATGGGTCTGAAAGGATGTTTAGCTGTAAAGAAGCCATTACAGAGAAAAAAGGAAATAATCAACAAAGAGGAACCTTTGCAAATCAATCAAGGAAGCTGCTGGTGTTCTCAGAACAATTGACGGACCAACCCAGAGTCCAGACCTCCACTTAACTGAATACGTTTGGGATTACTTGGATCTTGAGAAGCAGAAAATGCAAGTCTGAATTTTGGAGGTCTCCTGAAACAAACGGCTGAAAAGAAAGAGTGGATACACTAAATACTAAAAATGTAATATTATATTTAGTTCATTATATTAAGGCTTTTGTGTAATTTAAATATGCGTTTTCTGTTTGTTTTGCTGATGTTGAGAAAGGAGTAACCTAAATATTTAATGGTTATTTTGACTGTAAATCAAATAAATGAAGGGAGGTCTCTGATGTTTGCACAGTACTGTAAATAGAATAATCTTTTAGCATTATGTTGCTTGGCAACTACAACAACTATTAATTAACTATACTACTTGGCAGAACTGGTTACTGTGTATGATACTAATAACCATTTAATTATTTACTGAATACTGGTGCGTTATTTCATACTGTATTTGGCTGCCATTTTATACAATCACTGTATCGCATGGCCTCTCACAGCTTATTGCTTTAATGACACAAGACGTACCTGCTCAGCAAGGGGGTGAAAAGCCACAAATTGGACATGATGAATCTGAGCGGCAGGCCAAACTGCAACATAAACCAGAAAATTAAGCTGAGTATTAAACTGATACATATGCCTGTATAAAAGAATCATACAATGACAATAACTCTTTGAAATGTCCGCAGGCGGGTTCGCCCAGGTGCGATTTACCTTATGTGCCAGGTGTTCAAAAGTGGCTCGCTCAGGACCATAGCCAAACAGTCTGGGCATCGGGTGTTCCTCCAACCTGTAGATGAAACGGTGAAAAACAATCTATTGCTCAGTTTCCTGAAACTTAAGTTAGATGTAAAACTTTACAGGCAATTTTTAAGTAGTTATAGGGTAAGACATTTGTAGCTAACTTGTAGGGGGTAAAAGAGTGAACATCTTTTCAAAACTCTTCAATTTTTCTACCTAACCTCTGTCCTCCACATCTGTAGCACACCATCAGTTACCACTGACAATTTTGACACGTTGTCCTGTGCTTAGAAAACCTGCTGAGTTGAAATACACGCACACTGTAAAAAATGAGAGATAAGCTTAACTCAAAATGATAGAGTAACTGATTTCATGGCTTTTCTTAAGTTGACTCAACTTGAGGACACCAGAGTTCACACAACTCAAACTTCTTAGTTGAGCAAAAGTTCTCTTAAGTTTTAGTTCTGCATTTCAGTGAGGTCAATAAAATGAACTTGTTTTTATACTCAACTTCCCCACTAGCCGGGACTCTCTCCATCACACAATCCAGCTAGACATTTTTCCAGTTGGGTACTCACTTACAGATGGCTATGGCATCGCTGGGGCTCAAACTCACAACCTCCTGTTGGGGTGATGTCTGCACCACTCAGGAACACATGAAGCAACTCAGATTTTGGGTCTACAAATGTTTAATACACTGGAGAAAATATTTGTTGTTTTAACTTTAAAACACAGCAGTGTCTCATGTGGTGTAACTGTCTAATAATTCGTCCCAACATCAAGAGACTGTGAGTTTGAATCCCAGCAATACCACAGCTGTCCATATCTGGAAGCCCAAGAGAAAAAATATACCAGATGGTATTGTGATAGAAGGAGTGCTAGCTTGTGAGTAACTGAGTAAAAAATTTAGGTTTTGTTGATCTAACTGAGATGCAGACCGAGAAACCATAGCTGGGAAAATTTTTCACTCAACTAAGAAGTTTGAGTTGGGTGAACTCTGGTGTCCTCAAGTTGAGTCAACTAAAAAAAAGCCATGTAATCAGTTACTATATCATTTTAAGTTGAGCTGACCTCTCATTTTTTACAGTGTATAATAGGAGTTTTTTTTCTAGAACACTCACAAATTCTTCAGTCAGTTAAGCTGCAAATCTGTATAATTTGTTCTTTCAGAGCTGATAGTGGTTTACAGAAAGAAGAATCTGTGATATGTTTAAAGCATAGTACTGCCAGATCATGCATGGATTCTCCACAATCATAGGACTCTTCCATTATGGTCCTGGAGGGATGGTGTCCAGCACAGTCTGAAGAATTCCCTGTTCAAACACACGTGGTTCAACTAATGGCCAGCTAATTGCCAGGGTTAATGGATGTGTTACAGCAGGAAAATCACCAAACTGTGCTGGACACTGGCCCTGAAGAGCCATGACGAACCAAGCCGAACTGAAGAACCATGCCTTAGGGAAAGTGAAAGTAACCGGGACTCTGTTTGTGCACTGTAGCTCCATTGTTTGAATGCTGGACATGATATCAATGAGTGTGTATACATGCACTCCATAATCTGATCATAATCGGATTTCTGCAGTTATCTAATTATACAAATGGTCATGTAAACACCATACTCCGATCTAGAAATCTGATTAAGAAATCAGATAAAGAGAGCTGGATTTTAGCTCAGCAATCAGATTTCTCAGTGCATGTAAACTCTTACTCTGATTTCTATGGGATTTCTCGGTCTGTGCGAGAACAGACGGTGAATGTTGCAAGATGGCAGAAAAAAGCTTTTAGAGCTACAGACGGTTTACTCTTTACCTGAAAATATGAACACCAAACACGAAAAAAAAGGATTTACATATTCTTCATCTTCTTAATGATATATGTTCATATTTTCAGGTAAAGAGTACGCAGCATGAGGTTTTACATTACGTTTGCGTTGGCTGGTTGTAAAGCAGAAATCTGATTACTGTCTGACTCATGTAGACCTGGATTTTTCCAATATCTGAATATGCAAGAGCATGTAACCACGTTGATCGGATTACTGACAAAATCTGATTTTCTGCAGTTATCGGATTATTAAGTGCATGTAAATGCACTCAATGTGGGAGACTGTCAGGTGTTCATATGGAAGTGTAGAAATTCGATCAAACAATGCAAAATGGTTGTGCGCAACTATAAGGACTGTATATCCACTATGATGTTGTAGGCTGTTTGTTTCACCTTGTGACTGCAGCTGCCAGGATGCCAATACTGCTCTCTCTAGGGGGCATAGAGGAATGCCCTGGCTTCATGGTGACACTCAGCTTCACTGTGGCTGATCCCTTCTCACTGACACCTATTCTACAACACACACAAAAATAAACTCATTAGGTTAATCTGAGGCAGCATGTTAAGCCATGTATATGGTTTTGCATATCAAAGTGAAATGACTCAGTAAAAGATCTCACAGCGCAGCCGGCCCCTTCAGTCCATTTATAATTCCGTCCAGCACTGCCAGGCCTTCATCTAGAACATACTGCAGTTTCACTCCACGGCTCTTCAGCACTTTAACTATATTCACCGCCCCACTAAAGCCGCTCACCTTCACAGACAAAGCAGAATGGAACTTTTCATCAAGACAAACTTGCACAGGCTTCTGCTTAACAGGCTGCAAACGACATGGACGTGTATAGGTTTGAAGCTTTGATCAGGTGTAAAGCAGAGTCACATGACTTGGACTTGAGTCACGAACTTGCTGACTTGAGACTCGACTCCACAAAATCAAAAAAAGACTTAAAACTGTATTTATGCTTGGCTTATTTTATTTCAGAAGACACTTGAAGCGTTAAAGTTCAAGTTCTCCGCTGTACTCTGGCAACAAGTGGAGCATCAGCAGCATCAATAAGCCCATACTAGAGAAACTTACCAGGAGAACTGACCATTTTCCTCATAGTAGCCAATCAAAAGAAACAACTCTCTCTATTTGAAGGATTTTAACAGCTTCTGCAGGTAAATCAAGCACAGCATTCGACACAAAACTGAAACTGACTTATTTGCCAGCTTCATATTTGAATTTGCTCTCCTACCTTAAATGGTGCAGTTTTAGCGCTGAGCTAGCTTTTATTTTAATCCTATTCGCCTAAACGTTCCCAAAAATCACATACGTGTGTGTGTATATATCATATGGTATACATATACATATATGGTGAATAAAATAAATAAAAAAATTAATTAAAAATTAATATACAGCCACATACTACTAACAAGCTGTCATTAAAAGGCTGTGGGATTAGGACTTGGGACTCGTCTTGAGACTCGCCTGTGCTGACTCGGGATTTGAATCGGGTCTTAACTTTCTTGACTTGGAATTTGACTCGGGACTCAAGTGTCAGACTGGTTACTTGCAACTTAGTGACTTGTTCCCACCCCTTGTGTATAGTATACTGACAATGAAGCATATAATCACATGCTGAGCTCATTCAAAGGATTTTTTTTTGCCATGAATGTTTTCTCACTTCAAAAAGTTTGACGGTGTAGGCTATGGACAAGGAAGTTGTCACTTATATTTTATGATAGCTCTGATCAACATTAGCAGATACATTTTTATTGATTCCTTAAATGTGAAAATGATGCATTTACTCTTAAATTTAATGTCCTGTGAAAGATTTCCCTCACATGCCTCTTGCAACAAAGACAAACAGAGTGGCTGAGAGGTAGAGCTGGACTGAAGAGGAGATGAGAGAGCTTTTAAATTGAATGCTAATACTTTTCAGCACTTACAGAGGAGATGTGTGGAATAGAAAGAACTCAAACAGCTCTACTTGGAAAAGAAATGTGATCTCTTGTTTAATGGTGCCGATGGAAAATAACCAAATAATAGATAAACAAAAAATAAAATAGAAAAGAATGTCCTTATTAATAGGTTTTAGGGGAGACAGGGAAGTCAAAGGCACACAAGTTGTGACATACAAGAAATTAGAGATGGAAACATATCAAACACAGTTTCTTTTAATGATAAACTAAAACTTATGCAACAACAGTTCTTTGCAGGAAACGACTTCATTATGTGAAGCATTTTTATCAGTAAAAGATAGATGTAAATAAGCTGCTGGGCAGCAAAATCGCATTTCTTTTAATTCATTTTCATTTCCTCGCTTGCAATTTGCACAGAAAGTTGATGTTCTAATTAATTTGAACATCAACTATTTGAATAAGCCAGCTGCCCTTTATGCTGTGTGAAAATTTCATGATAAAAACAAAAATAGTTCAAAATGACCTGAAATAAAATGTTTAACATACATCAAATTTAAAGAGCGCGTCTACCGTCTTCTTTAAAGTTATCATTTCAGACATACAAGGTTTTATGGATGCAAAGTGTGAGAGTGCCTGACCTCTTCATCGTGACCCAAACCGATGTAGAACCCTCGCCGTGGAACATATCCTCGCTGTAACAAGTACTCCAGCGCCTGAAGGATCCCCTTCAAGGACAGACGAGATCATATTCAGCAGCAGTTTCCACAGAACAAGTGTAATATTGTTTAACAAAAAGAAAGCGCTGCCCTGCAGGCTCGCCATACCATGACAGACTGTTTATTGTCGATGGTCCCTCGTCCATAAATAAACCCATTCAGCTCTTTAGCGGAGAAGGGAGGGGCCTCCCACCCGTCCGCCTCATTCGCTGGCACCACGTCAATGTGTGCCAGCAGCATGTAGGGCACCAGTTCCGGCTCAGACCCCAGCACGGTGAACAGGTGGCTGTAGTTAGCCACCACCTCATGCTTAACCAGGCTGGATGAGAAGACTGTGGGGAAGACTGACGCAAACAAGCACCCAAAACACAGCAGTTATGGAGGAAACACTACATGTGGAGTTAAAGGGGAAAGGACTGTTCAAATGACTGTTCAGTTTTAGTGAAGAACATAAATGTTAGCAATGAATTAATTAGTTTCTAACCTTTTCTCAGAAGCTGGTCAAACTCTCGCAGAGCACTTGTGTTCTGTTCAGTCTCAGAGAATGACACTGTGGGGATCTGAATGGCCTCTAATGAATCAAACAGGAAAGATGGAAATGCTTGGGTTTATTAATCATTGCATGATTCAGTGGACTAAATGTTGAAGATTTATATTTGATGAATATTTGACTCAGAAATCACATTATTTTCAAGAACGTCAGTTACTTCTGACTTATTTGACTTTTATCTGACCAATGGGGTCAGCGTGCTTCAAAAGGGGTGGAACAACAGTATCCACCCGCATCCTACAAGACACGCCTCCTGCCTACTTGAGCAATGTCATGGAGGTGGGGTCGGATGGCATTGTGTAAGTGTTTTACCCTGAACCCTGGCTAACCTTACACTCGAAATCTCTGAAAAGACTTTGAAAAGACTTTGGAAAGACTAAAGTTTAATACCCGCTCACATCTAAAGACAATGTCACAGAGGTTTTAGTCACAGTCTATGATTTTGCAAAGACTGGGTATCTTGCAGGATCTAGATTTTTGAGATTATTTCCCATCATGCACATCGTGGAAATTACAAGACGAGAAACCCTTTTCCTTCTCTACTCTGAAGTGGTACAAATGGGAAAATACAATGGCGGGAGAAGTAAAAAATCTGGGGCTCCGCCCAGTTCACTGTGGAATTGTATATTCTGGCAGATCATCACCCAGTAGTTTTTAATTAACCTGCAAAATACGCAGTTTCTTTTTTTATTTGATGTAAAGATTTACACATGTAAAAAAACATGAAACATGTAACGATTCAGCATTGCTGATTGTATGTCATGTTCTAAACCAGAGGTCACTAATAGGCGGACCGCGGCCTGAGTCCGGACCCAGACACTGTCCTATGTGGACCTGGACTTATAACCAATAAACTATGGAGAATTATTTAATTTTGACTGGGTGGTCCTATTTTAATCGGCGTAACCTTTCTAGTCATTAAGGTACGGCTTAAGCGGTCGGAGACTCACAGACCAATCGCATGCATTGTTAATATCACATGTGACGCTACTCAACCAATCAGATCTGTGCATTACGATGAGCACTGAGACTGGAGTGAGTGACGTACACAGGGGAGGGACGAGGCGAGAAACAGCAGTCGGAGAAGAAAGTGAGTCATAGGGAAGTTCTAAAAAGAGAAACCAACAATAAATGTTGTTAAAAAACAACTGAATTGTACTTTATTTGATTTGACATTCAGTTCTTGACTGCATAAGATGTTGATATACCTACTAGGCTACTTCAGTTTACAGTATATGGCACTGAACAGTAATGCAAGTTAGACTTTGTGATGTTCCGGACCTTTGCTTGAGGATATTTTCTCTAATTGGACCTTACTGAATTTTAATTAAAGACCCCTGTACTAAACCATAAAAAACAAACAGACAAAATAGAAAACCACTGCGAGAGAAAGGAAAAAAAAATGATGCTTCTTCAATAATGCCATTCTTTGTCTTCGGCACATTTCCTTGTTTTACTGTTACAGGCTCAGTGAACTTGAAATGTAAAACAGCTATTCTACATTTTTAGGTTATTATGATTATTATTGTTTCAACATGGAGCAGATTTGCTTTTTTTTTACATGCATTTTCTTCCTTGCACTCTCTCTCTCTTTTTTCTATCTATGGACTCATGATCTTATTCCGACATTGAAAAACTTGTCTGCAAGAGAGAGAAATAGCATTGAAAAGTCATGTGGTGTTAGGCCAGCATAAGATTTATTTTAGCACTGCTGCTAGCTTCTTGACCCTGGTTGTCAATTTTGTAGTATATTCTTATTCACTGTTATTGACAGTTATTTTTGTCATTGTGCCTTGAAGGCTGATTTAAGTAGATGATCTCTGTTCTGATTGGCTGCCTCGTTTTGTGCTATACGTTATAGCAGCCCAGGCTGAAAAACTCCTTGGCTGTGACTGAAATGGATCCTTATCTGTGTTGTCATTTTTCTCGTAGTGTCTGAATCTATCAGTCTTCCACAATGTACACATAATTTCTATTAAACACTTTAGATCTCCACTCAGCTGAATATACACCAAAGTGCACTGAGTCTTTTGTTAATAAATAACAAAGGAGCATTAGCTCACGTTGCTACTAAGTCAAAACTCTTCAGCAAAAACGTCAGCATAGTTGAAAACAAAAAGCCTAGATTCACGAAGAATTCCAAGAATTACTTCCTAGCAAAAACAATGCTATTGTAGATACTTTAATCATGGACCAAGTTTTGTACTTTTGCCCAAGACTACAACGATACAGCCAACACTAGCCTTGCTCAAGCAACTAATGTTGGGTTGTTTATGCAACTGGTAGCTGACATAGGTTGATGATGAGCGTCCAAATTAATTTATTGATTTATATGTTTTAACCGCTATTTAGAGAACTAATTAATTCACCCTATTCATCATAACACTAATGAGGGAGCAGGGATCTATTTCAGTCAGTCATAACGTCAGTGGGAACATGTGGGGACTAAGTGTAGGCTTTCATCACAAAAACAGTGAATTCAAGATGGGCTGTTTTTGAAGCTTATTTCCCATAAGGACAGCACTGTAAGCTTTTTAAACTTTACAGTGTTAACAGACTACATCAAAATATTTTTATTATTATTTCAAACAAGCGAGGAAAATTGAGTTTTCCTTGATATGAGCCCTTTAAGTGTTTTGAATAATAATACTGCGTCAGTTTTCACAGAAATGCATCCTGCATAACCTGATAAACAATCAAAAGTACACAAAGCATTTCAAAAATGCATCAATACATAAACTACATAAACAACCAACACACAACAGAGTTCATTCACCATGCTAACAAAAAGCACAAATTATACATATATTCCATAAACATATGCTTATATACACTAACCAGCCACTTCATTAAGTACATCTCCTTCAATCTACACTCTTTTCTCAGCTCCACTTACCATGTATGTGCACTTTGTGGTTCATCTGCTTCTCTGCATACTTTGTTAGCTCCCTTTCACCCAGTTCGTCGGTGGTCAGGACCCCCATGAACCCTCACATTACAGGTACTATTTGGGTGGTGGATCATTCTCAGCACTGCAGTAACACTCACTGTCCACTCTATTAGACACTCCTACCTTGTCAGTCCACCTTGTAGATGTAAAGTCAGAGACGATAGCTCATCTGCTGCTGCACAGTTTGTGTTGGTCATCCTCTAGTGCTTCATCAGTGGTCACAGGACGCTGCCCACAGGACGCTGTTGGCTGGATATTTTTGGTTGGTGGACTATTCTCAGTCCAGCAGTGACACTGAAGTGTTTAAAAACCTCCAGCAGCACTGCTGTGTCTGATCCACTCAGACCAGCACAACACACACTAACACACCACCACCACCACGTCAGTGTTACTGCAGTGCTGAGAATAAGCCACCACCCAAATAGTACCTGCTCTGTGAGGGTCCATGTGGGTCCTGCCTACCGAAGAACAGGGTAAAAGGGGGCTAACAAAGTATGCAGAGAAACAGATGGACTACAGTCTGTAATTGCAGAACTACAAAGTGCACCTATATAGTAAGTGGAGCTGATAAAATGGACAATGAGTGTAGAAACAAGGAGGTGGTCATAATGTTATGCCTGATATTATTTATTTATTTATTTATTTTAAAAAAGAAAGTAACTGAGGAAAGTAACTGAAACTTCTGATGCAATGCATGAGAGGAATCCCACACCATTTTATCAGCCAATCTAAAGGAATTATTTCTGCAGCTTTGAAGGAGTGTTCCCTGGATTCCCGTATGGCTTCAGTGCACACGCCGAGGGGCCGTAAGATCCTGGCCTTAAGCTGGGTTGTAAGGTCACTGAAGCAGACCGAACTTCAATATGCCAAGATACTTTGAATGGTGCAGCAAAAGAAAAGGGTAAGGATTTCCCTTCTGGCTCCAAAGAGTCTTAATCGTCTTAACCACCATGAGATCTATAAAGAAGGGTTCTTCAGACTGATGGAGAATGTGCTGTATATGGTTCTAAATGGCAAAAAAGGGCTCCTCTATTGTTATGATGTCAAGAATGTATCAACAGAAGAACCTTTATTGATCCTATATAGAGACATGTTCAAGGAGGTTATTCATTCACTCTTAAAAAGATGGTTCATCAGGAGTTCTTTAGTAAACAAAAACACTCAAAGAACCCATTCTTCAGAGTGATGGAGAACGTATTACATTGGATTCTATATAGAACCTTTTTGAAAAAGTGTTCTTCTATTGTGATGTCAAGCTTGTAACAACAGAAGAACACTTTTTGGTGCTATATAGAACCATATAAGACATTTTCCGTCAATCTGAAGAACCTATTAAATGCACCATTAAAGCATGGAATAATTCTGTATTAAACTTCATTCTAAACAGAAAAATTCCCTTTACCAAAGAATGTATGAAGAACCATCTTTTTTAAGAGCGTAGATCAGGGGTGCACAACTCCGGTCCTGGAGGGCCAGTGTCCAGCACAGTTTGGAGGTTTCCCTGTTCAAACACACCCACTTAACCTGGCAATTAAAAGATAAGTGTAATCAGGAGTGTTGGAGCAGGTAAATCCACAAACTGTGCTGGACACCAGCCCAGGACCAGAGTTCTGCACCCCTGGTGTAGATTATTGATGTGTAATAACTGGGACTGTAGATATCTGTGAGGGTCTCCTAACAGAATTTAAGATTGAAGGTTAATGCTCTAAATCCAAGTTTAATACGTTGCTATATTACTTAAATAAACTGTTTTTAAATATTCCACCCACCACAACCCCCTAGGAAGGTATAGGTGAGGCGTATCTCGTTGTGGGCGGGTTTTAAAAGGAAGTGTCTTGGCTTGCAGGTAAATCAGAGTACCAGAGAGGTAATAAACTGAGTAAACATACATGAGCTCTGACTACACTGTACTGTCTCTGCAACACCAGACATGAACTTACACGTGTCTGTGGCTTGTTCATTTACACCTACAGTACATTTTCGACGTACATCTGTGACAATCCGGTCAAACACGACAGAAACCGAAGTTACATTCGCAGCGTGCCAATTATTTTTAACGCTAACGTTATATGTTTGTTTACACATGTCAGACTTGGACGACCCTCTAAGCCACATGAGCACCGAGCAGGTCATCGCCTTTGCACATCTGAGTTTACAGATTTACAGACGTTACCTTTGAAATTTGCCAGCAGCACCGCTCTCTCCTGTTTACTGATATTGGCTGATATGTTGGCTGTTTTCTCCCATGGCGCAAGCTGAAGACCCGCATTCACCTCTAACGTCAAAGTCCTAACTGCAGCCACCAAAAATAAAATAAGCAATATCAGCAATAAACTTAATAACACCAGTTTCAGAAAGCGGATCATTCCCCATTTGGTGTTATGGCCAGTCATTTTGCAGGAAGCGAAAGAGCCGATCAGGTGCAGACAGACGGGGAAAGCTTGGTCCAAGGGTTGACCGACACATGATCGCCCCCTGCTGGTTTGGAATAAGTGCAATCAGCAAGATCGTAGAGTGACCACAATTTACTCGCATAGCAGTCTGTAAAGTGGGAGAGTGAGACATGTTGAACATTTGATAACATATTTGTCCATTTATTTATTCAAAAATAAGGCATCGTTAGACAATACAATTAAAACAATGTACAATGACTCCTCTGGATTAGACATGGGTCCCTGTTGCTTTCTCAGTTCATCGGTTTGCTGAAGCAGGGTGGATGAAAAGGAGATGAGGTGAACACACTAACGTCCTATAAGATGGTAAAACGTCTCAAGAGAACCAACCATACACATTTTAGCACATTCCACATTTTCTCATTCATACACACATTCAATTTTATAATCTCCTACTGTGGTAATAGTTTAAAAAAAACAAAAAAACAAAAACAAACACAAAAACAACACAAACTCACTATGGCTGTTCTGTTCTAATATAAGCAAGTGTAACACACTGAGGATCACTGAGGTTTCACAAAGTACTCTAGGTTCTCTCTAGGCAGCAACCTCGCTTGTGGATATGTCCTGAGAGCTGGGGGTGAGGGCGGGCTCCTCAGTCAGACTGTCCAACAGCGCACTAAAAGGATTCTCCAGCGGGTCATCCATGGATACGTAAATGAGGTAGAGAAGAGCCGCCACTAAGAGAAAAACGACAATCTGCACCCACAGAGGCACCAGACGCTGCTGGATCTCTCGTCTCTCCAGTGTGGCGGGACTCAGCGGGGTTTCTAAGTATTTGAACTGCACAGGACGACCTGCTGCCCCCTTTATAGACCGTCTCTTAGTAGCGCTAAAGAGCAAGAGAATCTTTGTCAAAAACCATTCACTTTATATGAAAATTAGGTAGGGATGCACCGAATACTCCGCAACCGAAATGATTCGGCCGAAAATGGCAAAAACAAACACTACTGGCCGTTCGTGCCGAATAAGTGAAAAGACAGAATAATTTATACCGAACAATGACGTTTTTAAATGGTTCTTTCAGCTTTTTCTAGTACCCAGCCATAGACGGGAACCAGAGTGGAACTTTTACCCCTTAGCTCCAGGGTTAAAGCCAACTGCTCTAGGCTAGTACCCACTTTAACACATTTACTGCAGCGAGTTACACCGGAGCACACTGAAGTTTCCCAGCTTCTATTCAGTTTCAAGCATTCGAGCCAAACGTATCTCCAGAAAGAGTAAAGAAAAAAACAGAGCCGCTGTGTTTAACGAACAAACGCTCTCTCACTTTCTCTCACTCTCTCTCTAATAAATATTTTTAAATTGCAGTTTAGTAATTGTCTTTTTTTGTTGAAAACCAAGACAAAAATACATTTAGCCCACTTAATTTATGCAATGGTGAAAAAGTGGCAAAATTAATGAAACACAGGGAAAAACAGTGTTCGGTATTTGGCATTTGGCCAAACGTTTCATTTTGTTCGGTTTTGGTTTCGACCAAAAATTTTAATTTCGGTGCATCCCTAAAATTATGTAAAACAATAGTTATGTGTAACATTTGCAATCATCTGCACTCACGTGATTCCAGTTGGAGTAGTAGCAGCTTCTGGGAACAGCTCCGTCAGAATATCAATCACTGGTTCCTACAGTGGAATAAAGAAAATCTAATTAAGAAGTAATGCGACTGGGGCAAAGAGTGGCCATCAGATCAGCGAAATAATAGTGACAGGGCTGAAAGAGGACAGCAAACATCATGCAAAGGTGAGTATAAAATAAAAGCCCATGAAGGTGATACATGTCTGGTTGGAAAAAGCAGCCTGGCTTCAATGGATCACTCAAGAAGAACCGCAGCAAATATGGAAAAGAAGAAAGAAGAGTGAAGAGAAAAGGATTGCACTGAGGTTAACAAAGTGAAAAAAGCCTATTAAGCTCCCAGGGGTGCAACAACATGCACTGGAACACCAGAGCGTGAGGAGAGAGCTACATCAAAGAAAGGGCAGATTTACAGGAGCTGGTTTTATTGTGGTAGTTTGTTTTTGATGGGGCAAACACTCGGGGGTGAGATAAAGAGACGTATTGGTCATGGTGCTCTTGTTGAGCTGTTGAAGGTCCTGATAACACACACAACATTGACATTTTAAAAACAAGTCCCCCGACCCCCTCCCCTAAAACACACACACAGACCGAAACAGTCAATAATTAACAACCAAATAAGCTATAAGTTTAGACACCAATGTGTGTTTTTAATAGGTTTACTGACCCAAAGCACCCGGATGTCTTTTGGCGTCTGGCTACATCTCCTTTCAGTCCCTGCAGGCTTTGACTGAGGACTCAACCTGTTCTCAATCTACAGGCCAGACAACCCTTCATTAGAACTCCTTTTCAAGCACAATCAGTCAAAGCCAAAGCAATTAATCCACAGCTTTTTACAAATTAGCATCATCACCCAAAAGTGGTACTTGCAAAGGAAGTATCTGTGTGAACAGTGCACTGCAAGAGCAGAAGCATGCATAGTCCAGCAGGACTGGACCAATCATGATAATCATTCTAATGTACACCAAAACATGAAAAACAGTATCCAACACCTACAGTGCTTTTCACAATTAGTGGGACAGTAAAGTCAAAATTTCTAATGTACAGTTACAGGTGTAGAATGTCACCATTCATCATTGGATGTTTGGTCATATTTTCTTTTTGGAATTTAACCATTTAACATGAGTGAGAGTGAAGTTATAATTAAATATGAAGTGTGTTTAACTGGTTCATTGATTCAGCACACATTTGGGTCATCGTATGCTAGCTTTAAATAAAGCAATCTGAACACCTCAGGTATTGTAATTCTATAGACTTGGCTGCTCTGAAGTTCAAACTGAGATTCTTGAAATAATGCAAATTATTGCAAAGCTGCAAACATGTTTAGGCAGGTGACAAATTAAAGGGAAAATCTGAATTAAGGAGTAGATAAACAAAATATAGAGAATTTTAAATAGGTGTGCTTCATGTCACTTTAGGTCACAAAGACTGCTTGAGTAGCTAGTGTATCATTAGGAACAGTAGAGTGACATCAGTATTTAGCTCTATGGAGAAACATCAGTAAATATGGCTGGAAATTGGGCTTAAAAGCACACATTCACTGACTGTGTTGGGAGCGGGGGGGACCTACACAACAGTATATTGTGCTCAGGTTGACAGAGAATGTCAACGGTCTACACAGATGTAGTAAAAAGTGATATGGTCAGATGATTCACTTGTCACCATATTCTCCACAAGTGGGTGAGTGCATGTGTATGCTGGTTATTTTGCTGCCGTGGTTTGGGTTCACTCAAAGGGTCACAGCAAATCAATACAAAGTTATTCTGACTGCTAGACTTTAGCTTATGATGAAGCTTCTCTATCCTAATACAAGTGGTCTTTCCCAGGATGACAATGACCCCTCAGGGCCATATAAACTGAGGGAATACATTTTTTGGAATAGTGGTATTTCATCTGTAGTGTCAGAGTTGCAGAATCGATGCTAAGGCATATTGAAGCTGTTCTGGCAGCTCAGGGTGGTGCAACAACGTACCAGGATAGTTCAAGTTAGTTTGGCCTTTCATTCCTGACCTGTCTGTATCTTAAAGAAGCACAATAGAAGTACTGTGATTCTTTTGATGTTTTGATGATTAGAGATCCGTGAAAACAACGGGATGTATTTTGAAACAAGCATGTCCACTCCTGCTAGACTATGACCCATACAATGTCACAAAACTTTCCCCATCTTTTTCTCACTCTCACACACACATAAACACACACACACACACACACACACACACACTTCCCTCCTCCACCAGCTCAGTTATGCTGAAAGACTGGGAGCTACTTCGGGTGCTTTCCAGTGACTCCTGTTGTTTCTTTCCCTGTAATTCACAGACATCCAATCAGCCACACTAATGAACATAACTAGCAAATGCTTCTACACAGGCAGAAAACAACATTATCATTATCATAACACAACAAAACACAATGAGTATCCAGTACATTTCACTGAAATATTCATTTTCCACTAAAAGCAACAATTATTCCCATATATCGCCTAACAACAGTGCAATGAATATGGTGCCTCCATGCAGTCAAAATGTGATTTCACATACAATCAAAAAAGTGAATGGGGAGAAAAAAAAGAAAAGAAAAAAAAAAAGAAAAAAGTGGACTTTATAACTCAGTGAGATCACTGATCAGGTCTTAATACTGTACCTGTCTCAGGGTGGGGAAAAAGCACTGAGGATAAAACAAATCTTTGCTCTGACTGTACAGCCCCACCTGTGAGTACAAAATGAAGCAAAGATATTCAACAACCAAGTCCAAATTAAAAACTCTGGCCACACGGTGGTGACAAAGTCTGTGCTGGAGTAATTAAGCTTTATAAGCTGTTAAATCAGCTCCCCAAACACAATGCAGTACGCCAGCAGATTTTAATTTGGAAAAAACTGAACATACTGCTGTTGTTAGAAGAGACATATTTAAAAAAGTAATCTCAGAGCAAGTCCATGGAAGAGGCACACAAATAGCCACAGAGGTACTAGGCCTGACATGATCATGAAATTTTAGCTGGTGCTTGAGTGCCATATAAACAACTAATATTACCACTTATTTTTTCTTTTTGCTTATTGTATGCAATTAAAGCATAAGCCCAAAGGGCCAAATTGTCCATTAGGTATTTTGCTTCATAGCTTTAGCAAACATTACTCACTACAGTCCTCTAAACACAGAAATCACAACTTTTTTTTTATAACTTAAGTCCCATGTCTCAGTAAATGTGTTTTCTGTTGGTTTATTGCATTATTGTTTACGTTAACCTCAACCAAACTGATGAATACACCGAACTCAATATTTGTAGCAACATCTGACTGAGAATGCTAACTGTGGAAAATAATAGCAATAATAGTAATCAGCGGATTATATAATATCTGAGAGACCTAATAGGTAGCTCAGAGAGAGAGAGAGAGAGAGAGAGAGAGAGAGAGAGAGAAATATGTAGGGAGTAACTGCAGACTTTTAGAAATAAATGCAGTTTGGAAAAACTCAGCTTCTTGGGAAACACAGCATTTCACCTATGATCTGTTTATTTTACACACAGACTGATTTAAAAAGATGAAACTGTTTCGCATCTACACAGGCAAAGAATCTTTCACAGCCAATCAAAGCTCATTAAAGGCAGGAGCCGTGTCTGTGTCTCTTTTACAAATCCACAACACTCTCTGACAGGTATTCTTCAAGCTCCACCAATCTCAAGTAGACCTACTTCTTTATTCTGTATTCATTCTTCTGCCAAAGACTGTTATCAACACTGTGTTTGCTATAAAAGCGGCGTATGGCAAGCTTGAAATGAAACTGTGACATTTCCATTTCTCCAGAGTAAACAAGAGGTTGGTTTTAACTTGACTGATGGGGCATCCAATTAGTTCTGCTTTACATTTCTGTAGTGTCTGCTGCATTCAGTCCAGCATTTCTGGTCACAAGAACACTATTCATGAGATCAGTGTGCTAACGCATCAGTGCATGCGTGTAATCAGGGTTAATTGTAATTAGTCTTCATGATCACTTGACCGCTGAAAATAATCACTTCCTTCAAAATAATGCAGCTTCTATTTGATTGCCAGCTATTCAGCACATCACAGGCACTCTACCCTATCCCACTCTACATGATCACTGGCTGTTTTAATATGAGTCTATTTTGTTCAACTGTTTAATATTGCTGTTTCTTAGTCTTTGTTAATATCTGATTGCAGTTGTTAATTTTATTATAAAAGCTTTCTCTGTTATAAAGGCTGTGTGTCATGTTTGTATTCTTTTACAATAGAAAGTCTGTATTTTTAATGACTGATCTTCAACCAGTGTTCGAATATCTTTGACTTAAAACATTTTAAAATTACTACAGCTATCTGACGCACACCCACATTTATTTTTTAGCACCTATTCCACTTGGCTCAAAGTAGCAAAATGATTAAAGGTCTTTCTGCAGCTACAGGATTATCAATAATTCAGTAAATCAACAGTTGTTTCTATTTGCCATCCAGTAATCCATAAAACATTTAAAGTACAAAGGATCAAGAGCTGTCAGGATTGTACAGAAAGATATAAGAAGAGATTATACACACCGATCTGGCTGTCGCACTAGTCTCAGTCCGGGACACCGACTCTGGGCCCAGCTGTTCTGATCCTAAACAAAAGCACAAGAAAAGAATATCAACAAATAAAAGATTTTTTTTGTAACTCACAATAGTCCCAGAACCCCCAGGGTTATCTATCCATGCCTACAAGGACAACTTCACATTTTTGCTGTGCCAGGTAGTGAAGAGCTGCAGATACCCCAGATGTGTTCAGATGAGATACAGTGAAAAATGTGGATTGGTATGACTGAAGACTGAATTGAAAAACCTCTCCCAACCACAGCTACCAACATGAGATGAACATAACTGAAATAAAAAAAAAGAAAATAAATAAATAAATAAAAATGTAGGAAAAAAAAAAATGCATAAGTCCATACCAGACTCCTCCTCATCCTCATCCTCCTCCTCCTCCTCCTCACTGTCAGAGTACTTTGCAGCATCACTTGTACCGTTGACTTTGAACTGTGAGGAATGTGCCATCAGCCTCTGCAGCTTCCTCTCATACAAAGCTCTAGTGCTGCCTGCCTCCACAGACACACAAAATATTTACAGTAAGATTCATGCACCTAGTGGGGTGACATTAATTGGCATGCCCTGGGGTAAACCTTCACTGACTGTAGGGGTGCGGCGTATTGACTCGCGCTGTCTTCAGACAGGCAGCAAAAATCAGATTTTTGGTACATCTAATGTAAGCAGGATACTTTCTGCAGCTGAACGGCAAAAAGCCACATAAACTTTAACTTTACAATCAGATCAAAATCAGGTTCCTGGAGAAGCGACTCAGTTTGATCAGTCAGATCAAATTTCACAGCGTGTTCGTCATTTGGGGTGTGGCGGTTCTTGACATCAGAAAGTGATGTACATTCACATATACAAGCTTAAATTTGGAGAGTTTTTGGATGAACCAAAATTTCAGCCACCAAAACATGTTGGCTGATAATGGTCAAAAGCAGTACTTTCAGGTTTTAGCAGAAATAAAAGAAATAAAAGGCAAAAATTTTGGCTAAACAAACTACAAAATATTAATTTTAATATCACATTTTTTTTTAATCAAAATTAAATTAATTCTTTTTTATTAAAAATCTTTTTTCCTTTGCTCTCTTGCGCTGGATAGCGCAGATGCATTCAAACTTCTTGAGCAGCAGCAGATAAACAGTGGAAAAAAGTCAATGTGTAAACCTTTTTCCAAATATATTTGGTTTCATTGACATATACTGTAGCCTACATATTGTAAGCATTTTAGTATGTTTGTTTCTAAACTATTTACTGTCACTCAGGTTTTGTTCTATTGAAAGCAGATGTCTTTATTACTTTGTAGTTTTTATGTTTTGTAATTTATTCAAAAGCATAACTACAAAAAATAAATAAATAAATACACAAAAAAATGGGGGGTTTTGGCCAGGAATTTTCATTTTGCTGCATCACTACAATTAGGTAACATTTTTACTTTGTATATTGTAGTTTTACAGTAAGTGTTTCAGTAAAGATTAGAATGTAAAGTATGTCTCTGAATATTACTGGAAGAGCCTATTAGTCTGTTTGTCATGAAATGTGGTTAGGTTCCCTTCTTGAGAAACAGTCACCGAAATTTCACTGTCTTTGCTTAACCAACAGTGGATCACTGGATAGTCACCGAAAGATATTTGAAATACACAAAGCTATTTTCAAATTAAAATTCAAATTGTAAGAGGTCCTGCCATGTAAGAGATATTTTGTTTGTTTAACCAAGAGTAGTAGATCCATCTGTGAGACCCAGCTTTTGAAAACAGCAGGCGAGACTAATACAGTCTGGCTATGATGACAGATGGTTTGATAGTCTGTCTACCATAAAAGATGGTTGTTCTCAAAAACTCTCTTTATTCAGTGTAAATAAGTTAAACTCTATTCAGAACTGATGGAGAAGCACGACTAATTAATACTAAACAAATATAACTGAAGAAATGAATAAACATTAATTAAATTTACTTTGATTTAGTAAGAACATACATACTGACCCACAATTGGTCCAGCTTTGACTCCATACTGCAGCAGTTGCTTTTTTAACTGATCATCAGTTAGTGAGCTCAAATCCACCATGTCTGCCTCCTCAATTTTCTCTTCTTCGTCCTATCCAGTGAAACATAATTCAACATCAGTTATACACAATTTAATTAAACTGCTTAAATCTGAGTTCAATGGAAACAAAGTATGTGTGTGCGCTGTGTCAGATTTGAAGACCTACTGAAAGCTAATTTCACTCACTGTGTCCCATGTTTAATAACTTTTCTAGTTGAACAAAAATGAGGAAAAAAAATTCCTTCAAAGTGCAGCCAGTCACTGCAGCTCTCCTAACCTAGAGCTTATTATCTAATAACCTTAAAACTAATAATTTTATGCACTGGTCTAAGAGCAGTCAAGTATTCGTACACTAACAGGTCAATATATAAATGCTCATTTTCAGAGTGTAAGTAAAGCACTGCAGGTCACAAAGTGTAAATCTGATATGAGAGTGGGGGCGTCTGGAGTGCGACCCAGATTCCCAGTCATGTGTCTGGGGGGGTCCCCCTGCCTCACACACATAGCAAGTTATCTCCTGGTACTGCATTCTGGTGCAGCTGAGGCAACAATTGCGTGTAAGTGCAAAAGACAGCTGCAGCAACGCTCTCCAGTCCTCTGGAGTTGGGTTTCAGAACCATGAAGAACAGTAAAACCTGTGTATTTTCATAGGAAGTTACTATTACAGTTCATTTGCATTTCACAAAAGGGAAAGAGTTAAAATCAATGACTTCATAACTTGTCAGGCTATACCGGTGCTAGTATGCAAGCCAAACAAGAGCATGGATACTTACTTCAATTCTTATTTCAACAAGACTTTCCAGTTCAGTGAAAGATTCGATCGGTCAATCCAACAGAAACACTTAATAGTCAACAATCTGGCCAGGACACAAGCTACTTATCCAACTCACATTTTGGTCACATGAACACAGTTCAAAGATGAAAGCCACCCTTTAAAAAGTGTTTGCACAGACTCCTGAATTCTGTTAGAAAGCATCACAAACTCACAGTGCCATCCTGAGCCGGGTCCTCGTCATCACTTGAGAAATCAGCGTTGCTTTTATTCCAGACATGTTTCATATAAAGGTCCACATACACTTCCTTCTTACTCTCTCCTGGAGGCAGCTCCACGCTGTGCGATATTAGTGCCGACTTCAGTCGCTGTTTGGAAAACTGAGTGGGATCCTCTACAAAGACCGGCATGTCAACTTTTAGGGGGAAAAAAGGTTGAACACACACTTTTCTCTGCTGAGGACACCAAAGAGAAGTGGACTTGCTGCTCTCTCAAGCCCCCTGCAACCAACACTTAGAGCTAAACCCGGACACAGAAACCTCTCAAATTGCAAACAGCCACGTTATGGTATGGACGACAGGTGGTCGCAGACAGAACAGACAGCAAACACAATCTAGCTACACTATATCTCCAAGCGTTTGTAGACATCTGCTCACCCAGCGTTTAAGGGTACTAACAGGGAGTTTGTCCCCCCTTTTCTGCAGTAACAGTCTCTACTCCTCTAGGAAGGCTTTCCACTAGATCTTTAAACATTGCTGTGAGGGTTTGATTCCATTCAGCCACAAGAGCATTAGTGAGGTCAGGCACTGATGCTGGATGATTAGTTCTGGATCACAAATGCCACTTCAACTCATTGCAGAGGTATTGGATGGTGCGCTATCACTCCAGAGAACACAGTTCCACTGCTCCACAGCCCAATGCTTGGTGGAGGGGGGCTGTATACCCCTCTATCTGAGACTTGGCATTGGGCAGGGTGACCTTTGGCTCTTGTGCAGCTGCTCCAGAGACTACTATTCTATAGGTCAATGCTTTTCTATGTACGTTATAAAAAGTACGCAGTTAAACAGCCATGTGCATCTCAAGACAGCTGAATTCAATGAGAAGGTGTGCCTGGATACTTTTGGACATAATTTGGACATTTTACATTAGTCACGTCATCTTGCATTTTTCTGAGCTTTTCATGAGCTATGGGTAACTAAGCTAGGTAGTGCTATGCAACATAAAGATATGACATCTACTACAAACGTTTTTCATGCAGGAGCCTAAATGTGAAGTATGTACTGAAATGACTCAGTTAACAGTTAACGTAACTAAAAAGATTTAACATCTTACTTTTTTTTTTTTAAATGTGTCAAAGGACACATCAAATAGTATTTTTTTATTTAACTTGCTTTTACTGGAGGTCGTGGGTTTAGGTCTTACGTTCATCCGGGGAGAGGTCAGTTGTAACTAACCTATCTTAGCTAAGCTAACGTTGACAGTAAGCTAGGTTAACTGTTAATTAATTTTAATAAACCTAAACGTTGTTGGTGATTAATAATTCATAAACCCTCAAATGCTATTTACTAAACAGTATCCCTTCTTGAACAAAAGGAAAGTTTTTCTTCTGAAGCAGAACAGGAAACAGAATGCAGGCCTAAGTTAACTCCCGCACCATTTAAGGTGGACCGGAAAATTCAGATAAAAAGTTGGAGAAGAAGCCATTTTTAGCCTGGTTCTAACGTTATATTTTTAGCGCTATTTTCTGATGAAATACTGATATGTTTGATAGGGACACATAAGGATACTTGGGTAAACCCCCTAAATGCTTCATACACAGCAACAACGTGGCTAAAGTTGTGTTTCTTTTTCGTTTCTCGGAAAACGAAGTAGCTTGCTTAGCTAGCTAGTTAGCCGTCGCTGCTAACGTTAGCCAACGGTACCCCATTCGTAATAAGCGGTTGGTGTAGCGTTCATTCACGGGGCTGATGGATCTCTATACTGGAAAATGCAGCTTTACAGACAAGCTAAAACCTTCTTGCTCTAGTATGACAGTTTAACTTCAGTATTAAGTCGCGTTCAGAATGAACTCACCGCACAGTTTGCTGCCTTATTCCTCGTGAACAACAGTTCGGCAGCAAACAACGTAGCTTAGCAAGATTTTTTTTTTCGCGCCATTTTTTATAGCGTCGTAAGCTGAGGAGGCTTCTCTCTCTCAGTGGGCGGGACTGCAGCAAAGACCAGGCCAAATCAGCCGCTTTTACGAGATGGTCCTCGCTGCGGAACCAAAAGTCCAGTGGGTGCGGCAGGGTCTGATCCAACTTCTCCCTCGTCGTGTTTTAATTGGTCTGAACTAGAGTGGAGCTGATAAAATGCACAGTGAGTGTAGAAACAAGTAGAATGAGCTAATAAAGTGGCTTATCAGGGTATATAACATTTAATATGATTTTTTTAGGCATATTGAGTCATTTTTATTAGACTTATGGAAATGTGTGGCAGTAATACCAAATCCTTTTAAATGTAAAAAAAAAAAAGTCGTCACAAAGATTTTTTATTATGAAATTCTAGGATTTAGTTGATAAAACTCAGTTATGTGGGTTATTTTGACCGGTCATATGTGTATTCTAGTGTTTAAAAACGTTCAGCGTTTTCAACTAGAACCCGTCTATCATAAGTACACCTGAGATGTAGGCCTACAGAACGGACTTTGTACCGGAATGTGAAAAAAGCTTTTCGAGTTTTGACAAATGAGTGAACATCGTGAACCATGAGCGATTATAACGGCTGTGTTGTGGCGTTCAGGACGGAGCAACATCGAGAAAAACACAAAAACACCAGCAACACCTGCGGGTTTCCCACAGGTAAAAACGCGACAGGGTAGACCAATGAAATAAGTCGTAGGCGGAAAACGTAAGCGACACATACTAGTTTAAAGACCTATAGAAATGCGATGATTTTAGACCAGTGAAAAGAAGACGTGGGCGGAGTTAGATCAGGTCCGGCTCCACCCCTTTGGACTTCTGGTTTTGCAGCGAGTGGTAGTTGGGGCTTTTACAGTAAGAACTCACTCAACCGGGCCAGCAAACACAAACTTTTAGTATTAAAGGGGAAGCATGTTGTTTATAATACAGTGGTTCCCAAATAGCAGACAGTTTTGGGCCGATTCTGACTTTCCTATGTGAATGTTGGTTGACTGCCAGGCAGATGTTAGACATGAGGGCCAGAACAGGGCCAGATTCTGGACAGCATCATGCCTCAGGTCTACATTTGTGATATAATTCTGGCGTGGAAGTTGTGGACTAAAAATGTAGTTGGGCCTGACTGGGGCCAGATTTGGGCCATATCCTTTAGTTCTGCTCATTTTACAATGTGTGGGCCCGATCTGGGCTGAGGACCCAGCCATATACTGGGCCAGAACAAACCAAGGATGTGGCCCACAAGTGGGCCAGACAAATTTTGCTAACTGGGTTAAATACGGAAACGTTCTGTTTACAAACCCGTTTTTAAGACTCTTGATATTAATGATAGTCCTCTCGTTTACAAAATTTGATTTAGTTTAGAATTATTTTGATGCCATACTGTTAAATGTAAATTCATATAATTGTCACATTATGATTATCAAACACTGCTCTCTCTCCCTCGGTCCCTCACTCACTCTCTCTCTTTCTCTCTCTCTCTCACTCTCTCTCCAAATAATCTTTTTGTCACAGAAATGTGGACAACATTTATAAACAAGTGGATTTTATCTGTTGACAAAATATAATAAGCTATTGCCAATTGAGGGTCATCATTATGGCAAATTCAGTTAGTAAGCCGACCAGTTCCAATTCTCATGACTTCCATACACCAAGCTACAACCTTTCTAGGTAACAAATTAGTTTGTACTTGGCTGTAGACTACACTGTCTGTACTCGTTGGTCCGTGTGTCATTGTGACATACTAATTGCAAATTATAGGCTGCAATTGTTACGTTTTTTTCCTTAACCCCAAATTTAGTAGATTAGACAAAACATGTTTCATGTTATTTTTCATCATATATATATATATATATATATATATATGCATTGTGTGCAAAAAATTAATGTAAGCGCGTCTACTTGAGATTACCTAACAGCTTGATGTGGTTTGAAGAAAATGTGAATGCAGCTTGCACAATGCTACCTGGTGGGTATAAACTTCCATTACTTATCAGCTACATTAGCCTCATAGTTCCAGAGTAAAACTAAAGAAGCAGACTTCAGATGCCAAACATGTCTTAGCTGACTGACTAAATTTGTAATAAAGAGAAAGTGTTTAGTTTTGATAATTAGTTGAACTATTCCTTTAATATGATTCAGAAAAAAAGACGTCAAGAATTCAGTCTGCTGGTCCTCTATATTTATAAAACTGGTATATTATAACTGGTATCAAATTGTAGGAGTCTGGTGGCCCATTCGACTTAAGTATATGATTATATTTATTTGTATGTCTATGAATAAATATGTGGTTGTGTGCAAGTTTGGGTACCCCTGGCCAAATTAGACGTTTTGTTGCTTTTTCTTAGAGAAACTAAGTTAACATGTCCTCTACAGAGACCACACTTCTGCACATTAGGTGCAGAATTACTGTTTATCCATTGAATTTAACATATTGGGGAATAATTATACATAAAATGTGGACTGTGCAAAAGTTATGGCACATGTTCTTCCAATATGTTAAGCTCAGCAAATAAATTCATATTGAAGAAAGATGCCATATTTAAGTGTGTTCCCTGCAGAGCATGTGTTGACTTACTTTAATTTAGAAAATCAACAAAACATGGGGTTGTTGAAACTTTTGCATAGATGCGAACTTCACTGCAGTAAGAATGACCGCCTTCATAATCACTAGACTTGCCCCAGCTTTTAAGTCAAAACAACAGAACAGTGTAAAAGTAAAATAAGATTTATCAAAGAAAATATAACCCCACAAATATTGGAAAATATTCTTCTTGGTGTAAACAGTGCTTTGTGCCTGAAAGCTGTTTGGTTAGAATCTTTCTTGGGCTGAAAATGGTCCCAGCTTAATTTGTCTGTGTCCAGAACTGACCAAAGCTTCCACCCAGCAGTGCAAATAAGTCATTGAGACAAGAGAAAGAATTGCTTTTCATTCTCATTCCTCACACACACTCCGGGCTGTGAATTCCGCGCGGACCAAATTGTGTTTTGGTTATTCATCAGGCTTATATCTTCCTGATGCATTACTGTGCCCGGCTCCGTGCAAAAGGATTATCCTGTACTACAAGACACTTTAATAGGCTCCTACAGTCCAGAAGGATCTGCCAGCAGGAAACGTGCCCAGCATTACAACTGCACTCCTTCTCCCGCATGTCACCGGCAAGTGCGGGCGCAGATGCCCCCGTCTTCCTCCGCCGTGGTGCATCCCCCAGTGTACGAGCCCTGAATCATTCTGATCCGCATTCTCCAAATGTGGCGCTTCGCCTTTTGCCCAGATTAGAGGGCCACGCTGTCGCTCATCAGCATGCGGGGCCCGTCCGCATGTTTTCTCTGTTTATTTTTTCTCTTTGTTTCTTGAACGGCCGTGTCCGTTCTCCTAGGAAACCATGATGCAAGGAGCGGGGTGAACGTGCTGCCTCCTTCACATTCGTTCATCAAAATTCAGAAGCGAGGCTGACCGCAAAACATACAGTTCAGACGGGTGGCGTAAACATCAGAAGGGAAATAGATTCAACAAAAACAAGTTGGCTGAACTGCAGGCCTCAGTGAG